ACGGAAACAAGTAAAATCAAATGATCGAATAGGAGTAGATGATAAACAGCCATCATCTTTTATTGCCTAACATGTAGTTGAAACAGGTCATAAGATTGATTTTAAAAAGTCTTTTGTGCTGTTGTACAAAATGTGTTAAAGGGCGTATACTAGGGTTTATTAAAGCCTCAGCCAAATGAAAATTCAAACCACTTTATGTATTCAAATTAAGTTTGTTCTCAACTTAAATCTTTCTTGGTAATATCAGCATATTATTCAGCGTGATGAGGTTTCAAATCTTTTTTCATATCTATCTTATTATCTTTGGCTCCTCCTAACCTCCATTTGTCTAGTTGACATTTTTATTTTTATGTATAGGTGTTTTGAAACATTATACGTGTGATTAGGTTGTTTGAAATGTATTGCGCTAATATATCACATAATCCTGATAAACTGTGTCTTCTTATCACCCTATCTAAATTAAATCTTCCAGTTTATTAACACGTTTCAATATATTTGATGAGGGATTCAGGCTGTAGGTGAAATTGGTGATTGAATATCTGTCATTTGTGGATTTCGAATATACATTGTTGGCCTCACAGAACTACTCCATGACTAGATATTTTCTTGCTGAACGTGTTCTCCATGTTGTGTGCACAATCACTCCACTGATTCAGTCCCAACGATGAATTCCACAATAAGAACACATTTGAACATCAATTTCACACATTTCACAGTGTTGCACATCAACGATCACTATTTGGTTAGGGATTGTCCACAAACACTTGCCTCATCGTTGTGATTTCATCCCCTACAAAGTGGTCACCGTCAACTGATGATGACAGATTTTCATATCAATCAAATATTTTTACCATTGTAAATAGGTTGCATGTTGAAATAAAAATGGTCGAACAAATGGCCAAACGAGGACTGATGAACACCTTACTCGTATTGCTTGTAATTCGACACCCCCTTAGTCTGTTTTTTGCAAAGTTGCATCCATCTTCAATACTCAACTTGTTCGTAGTTCATCTCCTCCATGAACGACTAGACTGTCGATTTTTTAGTGTTAGTGATCTACCTCATTGTGTTGCGGACAACAGATCCGCATATTCTCGTTAATCACATGGAGGAATTACTTTTCTCGTAGCTACTGACTATCGCGCAACTGAATTTATCTTCATTAGATCCCTAATGTTTGCATTGTTTCATAGATGAATTCTCATTTTCCAACCAGATCCATCACTGTTGTGGGAATTAGTCCCATAAAATTATCAAGTGAGATAATAAAGTGGAATTAGAATGGGAAAACATTTTCAATAAGTTAATCATCAGGCTCTGAAATTTAGACTCCATAATTATTGCACAACTGTGATCGATGTAATGTGTTTATGTGTCAATTGTGAATCCAATAGTGAGTTTCATGTGTCTGGATTGCTTGCAAAATGTATCACTTGTGGAGTTGGAAATTCACCTAAGTATGTTAAATGTGTGAAGAGTGGTGTACTGTGACCAATTTAATAATACGATGTTGAATAGGAGAAATGTTTTATGTCGGAATGATTGTGTCAATGTTGGATTGGTGTGTGGCTGTGGTATGCGTCAACCTTATAGTGGGCAAAGATAACTAAGTAGGCTGCACACAGCTCTTTTGAAAGCATAGGTTCGGCTTTTTGAAGTCGGTGCAGACATCTGCAGCTATGTAAGGGAGTAGTAATATTACTCCTTCCGGCAAACTATTCGGAGCTTGATGCAAAAACGGGAATGTTTCTTCTATTTCGATGCGATATTTACCATCTGCAAAGTGAGAGCGAGAGACTGTGTCAGCAAAGTGACATGAAACTTAACAGCGTCGAACCTCCATTCAGTCAATCTTCCACGTCGACTTGTCGATATGTCACCCACCATGTTCTCCCTACAATCAGGTCTTAGGAAGAGTGTTTTCTGACTGACAGCGTCGACATTTTTCTCATTTCTCGATTCGGAGAAATAACCTTCGACGAATCAGTTTGGATAACGGTTGTTCAGTGGTGAGTTCGTTAGTTTACGTGTTCATCATTCTACGCTATCTTCAGAGCATAACTCTCTAGTTTTGTGTCTGATACACTGAGCACGATTCATTGTGTAATGAAGACGTGAGAAGCCATGAGAATGAACGATGTTGATCAGTATGAGTGTATCGAGAAAATATTGCCTTGTAGATACTCGTCCACCCTTCTGGAAAGTAGGATATTCAGGAAACTATACCAATCCAATGTAAATCGAACCGAACACAACTACTCCGATTGGACGTACTGAACGTTTCGAAACTTTAACACAGAATGATAAGCCGGTTATCCGAACATGAAAATCCACAACGAGAAAAAATCCACATTATTCACTCCAATATTTCCACATTCACATTAGTGGAACTTCTCAAACTAGTCTATCCTTTACATTTTTCGATACAGAAGCATGAATGCGTATTGTGAGTAGATATATGAGAAGAGGAGTGGAGTAATATTCGTAGAACTGCATGACTCACCATGTGGTACACAAACTAACTAATATCTCATTCAATTTGATCACACAATGTTCGATTGCAACTCGGTGCATCTAAGGTGATCCATTCACCATGTCAACACAAAGATGAGGGTTTCTATCCTTGTCATGGTGAAGTGTGCACACCGCTAACGAGCTCCTTACTAGGCTGTAACAGATGTTCAGTGCTTCTAGATTGGTTACCGTTGTCTAACTGAAGGCAGTCAACGATCCATCCATAAACATTTCATTCCACAATAGAAGATATTTCCAATCAGTCCCATGTGGACGATGATGGCTTAGATAAACTGAATTATTCACTGTTCTTTGTCTTCTTCAAAATTATCAGGATGAGTTGACGTATGAAAATGAAGTAGTCTTGATATTTCCTGTCTGTTGACAATTTTTGAGGCTTTTTATGCACCAATTAATGTCGTGCATCTACGATGTGAAATATTAGTGATGTGTTTGAGCTAACATCACATCTCATTTGAAGATTGCCTTGTACGTTTACGTGAATAAAAGTAGTAGATTAGACTCTGTTTGTTGTGCACAATGGAATGAGACACAACAACATATTCAACCACCTAGTTTTAACCCAAACAATACAATTTGGTATCCAAATAATATTCGCATACTCCACACTAATACATAATCACTCATTTTCTCTAATACCTCATCCTATATGAAGTCCGATTTCCAAACACTTAGTACTATTTTCAGATTCATTTGTCAATCAACTCGAGTCCAGATGGTAGATTATTTTCTTGCATCAGCTGATCTATCTTCATGAACCGCTATATCAACAGAGCATCTGTACAACGAATAAAAATGAAATCACAAAAGATTAGATATTAGTCGTTGTATGTTAAACAATAATGGGAACACTTCACAATCGTACTGCCTTCCTCAATCAGGTCTCGTACATAAAACCGGATAGCTCAACAGAGTTGGATACTGTTAACTGACTAGAACTTTATGTCGTTGTTTGATGTCACCTTCTGAAAACAGTAGAATTTTCATCGACACATCTCAAACGAAATCTGTTTCAGGCAAATGCAAAGGTTCAGTATTATTGAGTAGTATACTGTGAAGATTAAATCTTTCACCAGTCCTGGTAGGCAATCATAGATAAACTCATGAACTGACCTGTCAGGTACAGCTGAATTGATTGCAACGAAATCTATCATTGGAATGATCATATATACTGCCACCGATAACCAGAGTTGATTTAGAAAGTAGAGTTGATTAACCACAATCTATGCATATGGTGCTTACTATTGTTCACATTGGAATTAAGCACTCCAAGAAAATCAACCTACCGAACAGCTCATCTCACACACGAATAGAAATGGAAGCACGGTTGGGCATTATGAGAGCAACATTGTCACAATCGATATTCAAACGTTTCATGTTTGCTCTGACTAACTCAAGTGGAAGATTTCGTATATTTCTCATGTTCATTGAAAAGGTAGTGAGTGGTTGATATGGGGAATTCATTTGCTCTTTGACTTGTCGTGTGAGATTCTTCTGTTCATAAGCCATTACAGACAATTCCAACTTGATCTGCAAACACTTCCACAATTCACACCCAACAATACGTGAGTGTGTATCTATTCAGGTTTAAGCTACTAACACAATGAATCAACTATGAGAATTGAGACAGTTCTGCATAACACTGGAACACGGGAATCCACCACTGAACAACGTCATCTCATTCATGTAAAAATAAATTATGAGTGAGAGAAAATGGGGTTGGTTAAAAGTGTTCAATTCACTTTAGCGGTTTCGAGTAAGATGAACGTTGAAAGTATTCAGGTGGCACTCATACTATCGAACTAAACTCTACGTGTCTCAACAATGAGGATAAACTATGTTAAGCAAATACTAATAATGAGTTTAAATATGAAAGAAAAACTGGCTTGTCTTATGGTCATCCAATGATGATCGTATCTTGTTGTCCCTAAATTACTGACATATGACACTTTCCTGAGAGAATGTAGCATGAACAAACGAAGTATTTTTATTACTAGTATCTGGTTTACTGCATTAATTGATATTGTCGTGTATGAAATATGACAATATGAAGAATGGTCTGTCGACTGCCAGAAATCCCTTATTTAAGGTCGTTACAACATCGTCCATGAGGTCAACAGGTTAAGTTTAAATAAAATTTTCTTTAAATTGTTTATTTAAAATTTGTGTGTCCAGAAATACACCACTTTTCAGTGTCATCAAAAAGAGTTTGTTCTCATTCAGTGAAGACTTAATCAACGGTTCCGATAAAACACAGGCTAACGAATTCCAACGGTGGAATTAAAATAGTGAGTAATTTGTGAACTAACTATTTCATCGATATTTTTAACTATCACGCTCAACTATCATTAACGATTACACAAAAGACAGTTCAACAGTAGAGTGCACAAGCGTAATATGTATTGAATAATGATGCACTTAGAGAGGCACAACTCTTCCAATCCATAATCAAAAACAATATATAAATGACAAATCACACTAGTTTACATATCATCACACCGAATACAACAACACAGGCAGTTGGAAAAATGAGATCGTCGCTCACACTCGTCTTCTTAGTAGCCATTGGTTACGCCACCGCCTACCAAATACCACATGAAAGTCCGAATGATTACGGTGGTGATTGCTACGGTAGTGATTGTGGTGGCGGTTATGGAGATGGTGGGTATGGTGGTGGCGGATATGGTGGTGGTGGTGGTGGTGGTGGTGGCTATGAGGGTGGTGGAAATGGCGGTGGTGGTGGTGGTGGCTATGAGGGTGGCGGATATGGTGGTGGTGGTGGTGGCGGTGGTGGTGGCTATGAGGGTGGCGGCGGCTATGGTGGTGGTTGCAATGGTGACGATTGTGGTGGTTACGGTGGTGGTGGTGGTGGTGGTGGCGGTGGCGGCTATGGTGGTGGTTGCAATGGTGGAGGCTGTGGATATGGCTTCGATGAAGCTTTCCCTGCTCCCTATGGTGGTGATCAAGGCTACGGTGGCAACGGCCATGGAAAGGGTGGTAGTAAAGAAAATGGCCATGGAAAGGGTCATGGCGGTGGCAAGGGTGGTAGCAAAGGTGGCAAAGGTGGCAAACCCAATACTTACAAACCCAATGCTTACAAACCCAATGCTTACAAACCCAATACTTACAAACCCAATGCTTACAAACCAAACACTTATGCAAGCACTTACTGAGGTACCAGTTGAATTGTGGATGATTCTAACTTGTTTGTGTCACACTGTCCACTATCCATTTTTTCCACACACCTCTCAATTCAACTCACTGTAATATAGTCGTGTTTGAATTCGAGATGAATAAAACCTATTCATTCTAAATAGTGTTTTCCATGTACGCTTTGTATTGTGTAATGAACGGACGTTAGTTTTTGTGATATTTCGAACTGTTGAGAGGTACGTGTTGTTAGTAGACAAGTGCGCGCCATGCCTCGCTGTTGTGACCTCATAATTATAGGAAGGTGTACATATCAATTCACTGAACAATGCAGTTTGCATTAGTTTGTATTATCCCGTTGTTGGTATATTTGACTGTAATTTGACCAGTCTTGGTTGACACATAGACATCGTATGAGGATTGTCTCGATCTAACCATTATGACACAAACTAATGTAGGATAGATGGAATGTGGCTAGTAGTGGAATCTAGGACACGCGTTTTGTTCTAGTTCGGACTCGTCGGTTGGGTGGAGGCAATCTGCAAAAGGTGAAATGAAACTACATTAAGTCCACGCTCAGCCTAAATTCCACTGTTAGCCACACTCCATCTATCCCATTTCACTCGATTGTCTAGATTGTTTATCAGCAGATGTGTTCATGGCAAGTACCGTGAATGTAGCTGAATACCTAGTCGAACGCATGTCACTTTATAAGAGATACGTGGATGATATTATAGTTATCTGTGAATGAAAGGACCACATGACATGTTTGTTGAATAAACTTGACGTTTATCAAAACTGCATCAATCTGTTATGGGAAGAGGAGAAGAGTGACCAACTTTCTTTCTTAGATATACTTATAAGTAGAAGAGAAGACAGTTCCGTCGAACGATCCATTTTTAGAAAGCCAGCTTGGACAGGCCAATATCATATTTATTATAGTTACTGCCCAGTGCAGTGCAAAAGGGTTATGATAGTGGGCCTATTTAACAGGATTAATCTTATTTGCACAGACGATGATACTGATGACGACGTTAGGTTGTTGAACAAAACACAAATGGAAAGTGGTTATCCGTTAAAATTCATAAATAGATAGGAAGGTGATGGTATAGTGAGGCCCACTACAGCCTTGGCACAAAACAGCCTGTCTACACAACCTTACTGTTCAAAGGTGATTCAAATAGCCTTTTACTGAAACAAGTGGTAAATCAGTTGCTAACAAAACGTACTACATAGAAAAGGTCATTATCAGGGGAAAAACAAGGCCCATGCTTCACCAAAACCTAAAAGACATGAAGGCGATTGCGTCATATCACACTGTTTCTATCAATTTAAGTGCGCGCTTATGTGTGCGTGTGGCCACACATACACAGGGAGGAGTAACCATGATCTGCAAATTAGGGTATCCGAACATGTGCCCAAATGTTTACGGAAACAAGTAAAATCAAATGATCGAATAGGAGTAGATGATAAACAGCCATCATCTTTTATTGCCTAACATGTAGTTGAAACAGGTCATAAGATTGATTTTAAAAAGTCTTTTGTGCTGTTGTACAAAATGTGTTAAAGGGCGTATACTAGGGTTTATTAAAGCCTCAGCCAAATGAAAATTCAAACCACTTTATGTATTCAAATTAAGTTTGTTCTCAACTTAAATCTTTCTTGGTAATATCAGCATATTATTCAGCGTGATGAGGTTTCAAATCTTTTTTCATATCTATCTTATTATCTTTGGCTCCTCCTAACCTCCATTTGTCTAGTTGACATTTTTATTTTTATGTATAGGTGTTTTGAAACATTATACGTGTGATTAGGTTGTTTGAAATGTATTGCGCTAATATATCACATAATCCTGATAAACTGTGTCTTCTTATCACCCTATCTAAATTAAATCTTCCAGTTTATTAACACGTTTCAATATATTTGATGAGGGATTCAGGCTGTAGGTGAAATTGGTGATTGAATATCTGTCATTTGTGGATTTCGAATATACATTGTTGGCCTCACAGAACTACTCCATGACTAGATATTTTCTTGCTGAACGTGTTCTCCATGTTGTGTGCACAATCACTCCACTGATTCAGTCCCAACGATGAATTCCACAATAAGAACACATTTGAACATCAATTTCACACATTTCACAGTGTTGCACATCAACGATCACTATTTGGTTAGGGATTGTCCACAAACACTTGCCTCATCGTTGTGATTTCATCCCCTACAAAGTGGTCACCGTCAACTGATGATGACAGATTTTCATATCAATCAAATATTTTTACCATTGTAAATAGGTTGCATGTTGAAATAAAAATGGTCGAACAAATGGCCAAACGAGGACTGATGAACACCTTACTCGTATTGCTTGTAATTCGACACCCCCTTAGTCTGTTTTTTGCAAAGTTGCATCCATCTTCAATACTCAACTTGTTCGTAGTTCATCTCCTCCATGAACGACTAGACTGTCGATTTTTTAGTGTTAGTGATCTACCTCATTGTGTTGCGGACAACAGATCCGCATATTCTCGTTAATCACATGGAGGAATTACTTTTCTCGTAGCTACTGACTATCGCGCAACTGAATTTATCTTCATTAGATCCCTAATGTTTGCATTGTTTCATAGATGAATTCTCATTTTCCAACCAGATCCATCACTGTTGTGGGAATTAGTCCCATAAAATTATCAAGTGAGATAATAAAGTGGAATTAGAATGGGAAAACATTTTCAATAAGTTAATCATCAGGCTCTGAAATTTAGACTCCATAATTATTGCACAACTGTGATCGATGTAATGTGTTTATGTGTCAATTGTGAATCCAATAGTGAGTTTCATGTGTCTGGATTGCTTGCAAAATGTATCACTTGTGGAGTTGGAAATTCACCTAAGTATGTTAAATGTGTGAAGAGTGGTGTACTGTGACCAATTTAATAATACGATGTTGAATAGGAGAAATGTTTTATGTCGGAATGATTGTGTCAATGTTGGATTGGTGTGTGGCTGTGGTATGCGTCAACCTTATAGTGGGCAAAGATAACTAAGTAGGCTGCACACAGCTCTTTTGAAAGCATAGGTTCGGCTTTTTGAAGTCGGTGCAGACATCTGCAGCTATGTAAGGGAGTAGTAATATTACTCCTTCCGGCAAACTATTCGGAGCTTGATGCAAAAACGGGAATGTTTCTTCTATTTCGATGCGATATTTACCATCTGCAAAGTGAGAGCGAGAGACTGTGTCAGCAAAGTGACATGAAACTTAACAGCGTCGAACCTCCATTCAGTCAATCTTCCACGTCGACTTGTCGATATGTCACCCACCATGTTCTCCCTACAATCAGGTCTTAGGAAGAGTGTTTTCTGACTGACAGCGTCGACATTTTTCTCATTTCTCGATTCGGAGAAATAACCTTCGACGAATCAGTTTGGATAACGGTTGTTCAGTGGTGAGTTCGTTAGTTTACGTGTTCATCATTCTACGCTATCTTCAGAGCATAACTCTCTAGTTTTGTGTCTGATACACTGAGCACGATTCATTGTGTAATGAAGACGTGAGAAGCCATGAGAATGAACGATGTTGATCAGTATGAGTGTATCGAGAAAATATTGCCTTGTAGATACTCGTCCACCCTTCTGGAAAGTAGGATATTCAGGAAACTATACCAATCCAATGTAAATCGAACCGAACACAACTACTCCGATTGGACGTACTGAACGTTTCGAAACTTTAACACAGAATGATAAGCCGGTTATCCGAACATGAAAATCCACAACGAGAAAAAATCCACATTATTCACTCCAATATTTCCACATTCACATTAGTGGAACTTCTCAAACTAGTCTATCCTTTACATTTTTCGATACAGAAGCATGAATGCGTATTGTGAGTAGATATATGAGAAGAGGAGTGGAGTAATATTCGTAGAACTGCATGACTCACCATGTGGTACACAAACTAACTAATATCTCATTCAATTTGATCACACAATGTTCGATTGCAACTCGGTGCATCTAAGGTGATCCATTCACCATGTCAACACAAAGATGAGGGTTTCTATCCTTGTCATGGTGAAGTGTGCACACCGCTAACGAGCTCCTTACTAGGCTGTAACAGATGTTCAGTGCTTCTAGATTGGTTACCGTTGTCTAACTGAAGGCAGTCAACGATCCATCCATAAACATTTCATTCCACAATAGAAGATATTTCCAATCAGTCCCATGTGGACGATGATGGCTTAGATAAACTGAATTATTCACTGTTCTTTGTCTTCTTCAAAATTATCAGGATGAGTTGACGTATGAAAATGAAGTAGTCTTGATATTTCCTGTCTGTTGACAATTTTTGAGGCTTTTTATGCACCAATTAATGTCGTGCATCTACGATGTGAAATATTAGTGATGTGTTTGAGCTAACATCACATCTCATTTGAAGATTGCCTTGTACGTTTACGTGAATAAAAGTAGTAGATTAGACTCTGTTTGTTGTGCACAATGGAATGAGACACAACAACATATTCAACCACCTAGTTTTAACCCAAACAATACAATTTGGTATCCAAATAATATTCGCATACTCCACACTAATACATAATCACTCATTTTCTCTAATACCTCATCCTATATGAAGTCCGATTTCCAAACACTTAGTACTATTTTCAGATTCATTTGTCAATCAACTCGAGTCCAGATGGTAGATTATTTTCTTGCATCAGCTGATCTATCTTCATGAACCGCTATATCAACAGAGCATCTGTACAACGAATAAAAATGAAATCACAAAAGATTAGATATTAGTCGTTGTATGTTAAACAATAATGGGAACACTTCACAATCGTACTGCCTTCCTCAATCAGGTCTCGTACATAAAACCGGATAGCTCAACAGAGTTGGATACTGTTAACTGACTAGAACTTTATGTCGTTGTTTGATGTCACCTTCTGAAAACAGTAGAATTTTCATCGACACATCTCAAACGAAATCTGTTTCAGGCAAATGCAAAGGTTCAGTATTATTGAGTAGTATACTGTGAAGATTAAATCTTTCACCAGTCCTGGTAGGCAATCATAGATAAACTCATGAACTGACCTGTCAGGTACAGCTGAATTGATTGCAACGAAATCTATCATTGGAATGATCATATATACTGCCACCGATAACCAGAGTTGATTTAGAAAGTAGAGTTGATTAACCACAATCTATGCATATGGTGCTTACTATTGTTCACATTGGAATTAAGCACTCCAAGAAAATCAACCTACCGAACAGCTCATCTCACACACGAATAGAAATGGAAGCACGGTTGGGCATTATGAGAGCAACATTGTCACAATCGATATTCAAACGTTTCATGTTTGCTCTGACTAACTCAAGTGGAAGATTTCGTATATTTCTCATGTTCATTGAAAAGGTAGTGAGTGGTTGATATGGGGAATTCATTTGCTCTTTGACTTGTCGTGTGAGATTCTTCTGTTCATAAGCCATTACAGACAATTCCAACTTGATCTGCAAACACTTCCACAATTCACACTCAACAATACGTGAGTGTGTATCTATTCAGGTTTAAGCTACTAACACAATGAATCAACTATGAGAATTGAGACAGTTCTGCATAACACTGGAACACGGGAATCCACCACTGAACAACGTCATCTCATTCATGTAAAAACAAATTATGAGTGAGAGAAAATGGGGTTGGTTAAAAGTGTTCAATTCACTTTAGCGGTTTCGAGTAAGATGAACGTTGAAAGTATTCAGGTGGCACTCATACTATCGAACTAAACTCTACGTGTCTCAGGGTTCCATGTGGGGGCTTGTCTTGTGACGCAGTTCGGTTCTTTCCTCAATGTGTGTCCTATCCACTTCCAGCGCTTCCTCTGCTGGGATCTGGTTTGTTCTCTACCACAGTACGTTGTTGCTAATAGTGTCCGGCCAATGGATCTGAAGTATTTTGAGCAGACAATTGCTAATAAACACTTGTATTTTCTGGATGATAGCTTTCGTAGGTCTCCAGGTTTCTTCCCCATACAGTAGAACTGTCTTGACATTTGTATTGAAAATCCTGACCTTGGTGTTGGTTGACAGTTGCTTTGAGTTAGAGATGTTCCTCAGTTGTAAATATGCTGCTCTTGTTTTGCTGATCCGCGCCTTCATATCTGCATCAGATCCACCCTGTTCATCAATGATGCTGCCCAAATACGTAAATGTTTTTACATTTTCCAAATCTTCTCCGTCAATTGTGATTGCATTGGTGCATTCTGTGTTGTATCGGAGAATCCTGCTTTAGCCTTTGTGTATATTGAGACCTACTGCTGCTGAGGCTGCTGCCACACTGGTTGTCTTTTCCTGCATCTGT